TTTCCGTTATCTCTCTTTATAGTTATAAAATAGCGCTGTTCAAAAAACCTGTAAAATTGAGAGTATTTCAGGATTCTGCCATTCCATCAAACCTCATCAGTGTTATATCCAAAGAATGAGCATGGTTCATTCATTTCACAAACATGTATTTAGCCCCTCTAAATGCCAGGTACAGACTGGAAATAAAATATGAAATACAGACTGGAAATAAAATGATCAAAACAGCCTCACTACCGCCCTATTTAAATAGGATGCACAAAAGTACAAACACAATAATTTCTTCAAGAGTTAAGTCTTATAGAACATGACAGTTATTACAAATATGAATACATAACTCTCATCTTCCTCTGTGAATTTTGCTATAACTTTTGAGTCATTTCAGTGGCACTATCTTAGACCTTAATATTTGTTTTATTTAAATCAATTTGATCACTGAAGAATCACTTTTCCAATCCACTTTAAGTAAGTACTAGTTATTTCTTTTACAATCATGCAGTTCAAGGGACTTCTCTTCAATTTAGATATCCTTTGATATTTTCTATGAGAATCTTACACAAATTGGCACCTCTTTCAATGCCCAACAGTTTTCTCTTCACATTAAAAAGAGCTGAGGAAACATCATTCCTAGTGCACGATAACCTTCTGTGTCTCTTTTTCATGTCTGTTACTTCATTATACATATGGATAATTCTTAGGAATCAATTCATAAATTTACAGGTAGAAATATGCCCTCTCCTTGGTCTTTCATTTTCACTATTATTAACTGCAAAGCTTCCTTTATTCAGCTTCCTTTATTCCAGATGAAACATTTATAGAAGAACTATTTCCTAGTACATAAAACATTCCAAAACATAAAATTGAGTCACATATTATTTTCATTAATCTGCTTTAAGAAGGCACAGTAAAATATATAAAGAAATGGAAACAGATTCCAAATCTGCAAAATACTGTATGTCCTTCCTGTTTTCTGAATTGTTAAGAGCAATGTTCCAATTACAAATTCCTTGTGTAATAAATAACTTCTAAAGATTGAATTTCTGTTGGCAAAAGGCTGATACAAGTAACAGAATGTCACATTCTTTACTACACTATACTTCAGTCAACAAAAATCTGAACACTAAGATTCAAAAATTCATTCATGCATTCATCACATTCCTTCAATAAATATCTAACTGAGTATCTTTACAGTGCTAGGGACTGAAGATATAATTTAATAAAATAAACAAAAAGGTCTCCATCTCTAACTTCACTGAGTTTAAAGTTATGTAATAAATAAACTCCAAATACTTTGATTCAGCCTTAGTTAAAAGTATAGTTTAAAAAAAAAAAAGTATAGTTTAAATCACATACCACAAGTTTTCAATAAGAACTGTTAGATAAAGAAGTTGTTTACATTACCACTACCATTGATGCATCATGATTCAACAAACTCCGCTTAGAAACGTTTACTGTCAGCCCTCCATATTCAAGGATGTGAAACCCATGAGTATGGAGGACCGAATGTACCATGTCATTTTATCTAAGGGACTTGAGTATCCATGGATTTTGGTATCTGCAGGGGCTTCTGGAACCAATCTGGTCGATACCAAGGGATAAACTGTATAAAATACTGTAGAGAGATTTAATTTTGAAATAATTTAAATAAGTACAATTACAAAGAGAGAAACTTTAATTGCCATGGCCTAAAAGTTGCACAAATTAAGGAAAGCAAAATAACCTTGCTATACAATCACTGACATTAGGTGAGCAGAGTCACAAAACACCAGTCCAATAAGTTCGATGGATCTTTACTTGAATTTTAACTAGGTATTTGAAGGGTTTGTTCATCTGTTTTGATTTTATTTATATAAATTTTTCTAGTTCATACTATCAGAGAGCAGTAACTTGTTTCAAAATTTATGCAGTTGGTCTCATTTATTTTGATGACTATCATATTTTAATATCAACAGATATTAAAAAACAATTTCCATCTGGAAATCTAAAGAGGTTTTAGTTTGGCCTCCATATTGAAGCACTGAGGCACCCCAAAGGGTAACAATTTGAGAGTTTTTCAGGTAATTTTTTAAAGCAAGGTCAAACCCAAGAGAATAAAGGTGAATCCTACAGTGATAACTGCAGGAGCAGGTCTGTAAGGTAATCAGTCAAGCAATTTATAGACAAAGCACAGACGGCAATTACAGATTTAGAACAGACAATAAGTTATCAACTTTGACAATGCAAAAAGAAAATAATAGAAGACAAAAATTGGGAGGTGAAGGAGGACAGGGGTTATTATCATCATCTTACAAAGTCGGGAGCCAAAAGACACCGTCTCTGGCTGCTGCTGCTGCTGCTGCTGCTGCTGCTGCTAAGTCGCTTCAGTCGAGTCTGGCTCTGTGCGACCCCATAGATAGCAGCCCACCAGGCTCCTCTGTCCCTGGGATTCTCCAGGCAAGAATACTGGAGTGGGTGGCCAGTTCCTTCTCCAATGCACGCAAGCATGCTAAGTTGCTTCAGTCGTATCCGACTCTGCACGACCCTATGAACCGTAGCCCACCAGGCTCCTCTGTCCATGGGATTCTTTAGGCTAATGTGAAACTAAAGAAAAGCACACTAAGTGAGCATCATTATTGCACAGAAATTTTGCTTAAGAAACAACAGTGGTAACTGTGTGCCAGGCACTTACTAAGAATTTTTAGGAGCTGTTCACTTAACTATACAATACAATGCTTTAAATGAGTCTTTGAAAAAAAAAAAAAAAAGGAACTTCCCTGGCAGTCCAATGGTTAGGACTTTGCCTTCCAATGCAGGGGGTGGGGGTTCCACCCATGGTCGGGGAACTAAGATCCCACATGCCTTGGGACCAAAAAATCAAAACATAAAAAAAGAGAAGCAAAATTGTAACAAATTCAATAAAAACTTTAAAAGTGGTCCACATCAAATAATCTTTAAAAAAAAAAATTGAAGCTACAGGGTAACCAATCAGTTCAATTCAGTCTCTCAGTCGTGTCTGACTCTTTGAGACCCCATGGATTGCAGCATGCCAGGCTTCCCTGTCCATCACCAACTCCCAGAGTTTACTCAAACTCATGTCCATTGAGTCAGTGATGCCATCTAACCATCACATCCTCTGTCGCCCTCTTCTCCTGCTTTCAGTCTTTCCCAGCATCAGGGTCATTTCCAATAGGTCAGTTCTTTGCATGAGGTGGCCAAAGTTTCAGCTTCAGTATCAGTCCTTCCAATGAATATTCAGGGCTGATTTCCTTTAGGATAGACTGGTTGGATCTCCTTGCAGTCCAAGGGACTCTCAAGAGTCTTCTCCAACACCACAGTTCAAACGCATCAATTCTTCGGTGAAAGCTTCCTTTATAGTCCAACTCTCACATCCATACATGACTACTAGAAAAACCACAGCTTTGACTAGACAGACTTTCATTTGCAAAGTAATGTCTCTGCTTTTTAATATGTTGTCTAGGTTGGTCACAGCTTTTCTTCCAAGGAGCAAGCGTCTTTTAATTTCATGGCTGCAGTCACCATCTGCAGTGATTTTGGAGCCCAAGAAAATAAAGTCTCTCACTGTTGCCTTGTTTCCCAATACAGGAACCAATACTGATGATATAATTACAACAATGTAACTTTATAAGATGAAGATGACAAGAGAGAGAGAAACGGTACAATGAAAACAGGCTGATACCTCATGCATCAGTGCAGGAAGTCAAAAGGCAGCAACGTCTTAAACTGGTAAGCCAAGAAAGAGAGGCATGAGCATATTGCTTAGGTATATGGAGGTCATCCCCAGGAGAACTGGACACTGAAACCATTTTTTTTTTAAGGTTTTAAGTGGTTCCTTTGAGACATAGGTCTACTAGGATGGGAGAGAAATGGCACAGAGGACCACTGCTTTCATATATTAAAAAATGTCTGAACTACTTACATTTTTCACCATGTGAATGATTTACTTTGACCATTTCTTTCAAATTTACTTAATAATATTTTTCCCCAAAAAAGTAGCAATCTGATATGTCCTACTATCTCAGTCAGGTGAAATTCTTTTCTATTTTAATGGTTTCCAGAGAATGACCCAACAATAAAAGGTTAACAGGTCAGCACGTCACAAATTTTTCAGTTCATGTTGCAATTGGTAAATTAATATAGAGTGATTCTACAAATATTAAGATGTGGCCTTTTCTGTCCTAAAATGGCAAAACACACAATCCATGGTCTGAAAGGTAATGCTTACCCACCTGTCCCACCTTCAATATCTTGGTTCTTTATTCCTCTTTGTAAGAAAAGTCAGACTTTCATACCCTGTTCAGTAGAATGGTTTCAAGGGAAAATTTCTGATGAGAGTACTGATACTAACCAACCAAAGCGATCATCATCTCCATCATCACAGGCTACAGCTTTAGTCCTGGTGATTACGGCAGAGAAGTGCTGACGCAACCTAGGCAAGTGCTGCAGATGGTGGACTAAATCCAACAGAAGGTCTTGCATATTATTCACCAAGGTCACAAACCAGAGTTTCAAGAGCTCAAGGCAGCCCATACACACATTTGGTGTGGCCTACATAATGCTGGCCCACACTGTAATTTTCAAGAAGTGGCCAATGTCTAAAACTGAGAGAATTCAAATAAAAATGCAGATTTCCACCTTTTCTCAATAAATCAGTAAGGGTAACCACTCAAAACTGGGTTGAGTGCTCCAATTTGCCACCCCTAGCCTACGTCCCTCATTCATGTTACCAGTATGGCCTTATAGTCATTTATATTTCTGATCTTTGCTATAGAAGATAAAACACGTGCATGTCCACTTGACCACAACTTACTGCCTGCCAACTGTCTTACTTTGACTAGAACTAGGACTGAAAGACAAATTTTCAAAAAGTGGTAAATCCATAAGATATCTGATTGATATCTTATGAGATAACACTTAAAAAGCCAGAAATAAAAACACTAAAGCACAAAGTCCAATAGCTAGCACTGTAATCTACATTTTCAGTAAAACAGTCATCATTTACTTACATTTTAATGTCTCTCCAGCATATGGTATATGCAACTTAAATCGGTCACAGTTGGGTCCAGGAGTCAATGACGTGCAGCTTTTTAAAAAAGAAAGAAAAGAAAAGCATTTCTCAAAACCCCACATATTTATATTTAATAAAGTTAATTAAAAATAATCCTTACAGACCGATGATTAAAACACTGACTTATAGACCAAAATAAAAGCGCTTAATGGTCATGGAGGCTAAGACAAAATAAGACCTGTGCTCAAAGAACTAATTCATTTATCTCACAATAAAACCTATATGCCTTCTAACATTAAATACCAACGTTGCTTCAGCTACTTCTCTCAAAGAAGTGTATCTCAACTTTGAAAACAGGTACATGATCCAAAACAGGTCTGTAGTCTTTGATGCCAAGAATTGTAAAAGAAGCGTAGTTTTATGGTCATATTTTATATATAGACTCTTAGTTTTCACTCAGTTAGTACTAAAAAGAGCCCACTTTTGGCCTTTTTCTGGTACCAGATGGTTTTCTCTCTTTCCCTGAAAACAAGGCGCTTCCTCTAGATTTGGCACCCCGTAACTTACATCTGTAGCAGAGCACAGTGCTCTGCACTCAGTTTCAGATAAAATGCAAATTTAAAGGGGGGGGGGGGTGAGTTATCACCCAGGTCTCAACAGCTTGTTGTTTTTTTCTTAAATCTATTACTTCGTAAAGTTATACAATGTTCTTTGTTCTTTACACAGATTTACTTTGTAAGCTATCTCTCATGATCTTCTGAGTCATAACTTCAACTGTGTAACAGCAATATTGGCTTCATAAATTAATAAAATATTAACATGAAGTCAGTTGAGGAAGTTGTATGTCTTCATTTAGTCAAAAAAAATAAGCAAAGCTTTTCATTGGTACAGTAAGAAGGCTAAATTTTTTCATAACTCCAAAACTGCCTATGAAACATTTTTGAAAAAGAACCTGCATAAGTGGTTTAAGGAAAGGAAGCACTGTTGGAACAAATGTACCACTTCCCTAGATGGCCACTGTGAAAGGCAACCGGCATTTGAAACTAAATTTGAGAAGTGCTGACTCTAAAAACACTAACTCTGAGCTCATATTAGATTTACTATTACTTTTTCCCAAAACTCTGTGAATGTGAAAGAGAAAAGTAGACAAATTTTAATGTATTTAGCATAAACCAGACTGAGTGACTGAGTGCACACACCAGGTCGAGTATTCCTCTTTATCCTTAGGGGCCAATAAAAACATTAGTTTATAAATTAAACAACAAAGCTACACTAATAATTACAGAGTAACTTACTTTAATTTTTTTACAAGTTTTAAGTTCACAGTCTCCTTTACCTTTCAACATAAAAAATTCTTTGGGGCACATTTTATTGAAGATATTAAAATATCTCTCTTATAGTATCTTTTCTAGCCTACAACATAGTAGTTCTTAGAAAACACTCATGGAAAACACTTAAACACTAACATAAAATATGAAGTATAATCTAATGACAGAAATGACTCTACAAGCAACACTAAGACTTTTTTTCTCTTACATTATATTCAACAATGTTTTTAAATAATTTAACAAATAAGCATACAATCAAGTGTCTTTGGAGGCCTGAAGATCAAATCACCTACATCACTTAATGACTGAAGTTATTAATAGTACAGGAAATCCTCAAGATTAATCTGATTCTAATTTGAATAAACTCATCCTTCTACAATGTGAATTAAATTTTGAAATAATTACAGTCACTGTGGTGCCATACTTTATATTATTCACTTTATGCTTAAACCAGGACTAGGAAAGTGTCTTTGTGCTCTGCCCTTTCACCTTCCTCCCTTTCTACTTGAATGGCTGGTTCCAGCCACCTCAGGGCAGAAAAAATATATTTCTCCATCTGAGTGATTCACTCACTGATTCTTTTCACTTAGATAAGACTGACTGAACATTGTTGCATGTCTTAGGAATACAGGGTGGACAAGACAGACAAGAGCTACAGTCTCATGATACTTAAATTCTGGCAAAGGAAGGAGAAATGATAAAAAAAAAAAAAAGAGAGAGAGAGAGAGACAAATGTACAAAGATAGTTTAAGATTGCTAAATGTGATGAAGAAAACAAAACAGGGAGTTGCAATAAAACAGGAGCCACAGGATGCTGGAAGACTGGAAACGACCCTTGGAGGTGGTGAAATCCGAAACCTGAATAATGCAAAGGGGCCAACTATGCACAGTTCTGGTGAAGAGCATTCCAGGCAGAGGAAACAGCTGGTGCAAAGGCGTGAAGGCAGGAACAAGTTGGGTATTTCTGCGGGAAGGAATCTTGCTAAGTCTGGGCAGTGCAGCTAGAGCAGAGTGACTGCAGGAGATTAGAACAGCAAAAGATCAGGACAAGAGATACACAAGGGACAGACCACGCAGAGCCACGGAAGCGGTGGCGATTAATTCAGGCTTTATTCTGAGTACAAAGGAGGATTCTAGGAAGAGTAACTTATCTGAGTCTAAGTTTTTAAAAGATTATCCAGTATACTGTATGGAAAAGGGGACTGTGAAAAGGTAAAACAGAAACCAGGAAACCAGAGAAGAATCCGTTACAGGCAAGAAAGATGCTGGGCCCTTGGGCTGGGGAAACAGCAGGGGCGATGGAGATGAGAGGATTTACTCAACAGGGACAACTAGGAGAGAAGCAAGCTGAGGGAGAAGGGAAGTCAAGAGCTGAAACTGTCAGCTGACAGCCAATTCTTCCTGGAAACAGAGGCAGATCTGTGGGAGGGCCAGCCAATCTAAAAGAGCCACTAAAGGCTGCACACACACAAAAAAGAAGACAGAAGAAAAACTCATCAAAAAAGAGTCCTGTCTAATGTTGGAAAGATCACTTACTTGAAGTGGGGATGATAGCAGGGGTAACAGTCCTCAAGCAGGACTATGCATGGGTTACATCAGCTAGTCTCCAGTTAACTGCAGGGCTTCAGTCTGGCTGAGAAATATACACAAATTTGGGGCCAAGAACCAAGCTGTTCAAGGGAGCAGAGAAGAAAGGCTAAGCTGCCTCTCCCTCCTAGACAGCACTCAGCTCCTCCTCCAAGGAAATGTTGAGCAAATTACTTAAGATATCTTGTTATGCTGTCTTCCATATTTCTTAGGATAAACAGCTTGATGGGAAACAAGCCAATGTCATCTTACCTAATGGTTTGTTTAAGATTAAACTGTTTCCCCTTTTTAAATTACCTCAGTCTAAAACTGGTTTTGGTCATGTTATTTAATTTACTGTGAAATTTCAAATCATACTCAAGGAGGCCAATAGTTTTTCAATTAATAAAGAAAAAAAGGTTTGGGTTAAAAAATACTGAAAAACACAGATAAAAAGAAAGGTTCCACGTATGGAAAAGAAAGATCTGTGTGCAACGGCTGCAAACAGCAGCCTCCTTGGTAGTGTATGCAACCTGTTGCCTGTACAGGTAGCCCTAAGGGACCTTGGAGACAACTCTTCCTAGTGGGCATTCATGACTGGTCTGCTGTTTCTCAATCTCGACTCCAGACAGGTATGCGAGGTGCCTTTGGAAAGCCCCAGGGCACAGTGGCCAGGGTCCACATTGGCCAGGTCATAATGTCCATCCGCACCAAGCTGCAGAACAAGGAGCATGGCCCTCCGCCGGGCCAAGTTCAAGTTCCCTGGCCGTCAGAAGATTCACATCTCCAAGAAGTGGGGATTTACCAAGGTCAATGCAGATGAATTTGAGAACATGGTGGCAGAAAAGTGACTCATCCTGGATGGCTGTGGGGTCAAATACATCCCTAATCGTGGTCCCCTGGACAAATGGCAGGCCCTACACTCATGAGCATCAGCTCTGTTCCCTCCTTAATCACGCTCACCAATAAATGCTATTTCCTGTCAAAAAAAAAAAGAAAAGAAAGATCTAAGTGTGCTTATGTCTATGTACAAAAACAGATTTCAAAAAGAGCATCACCAAAATGTGGTAGGATTTAGGGTGATCCTTAGAACTTTCTTCAATGACCTTCTGCATTGTTTTGATTAATAATGAACATGAACTATTCTACAATTAAATATTTTAAAGCTAAACATATTCTTTTACATTTTGACTCAGGAAACTTGGTTATGATGGCTTGATTTATCTTTTTCTTCTAAAGTGCTTCACTCCTTTTCAAAAGGAAATAAGACAGGGTGATTTACTGATGAACAGTCTTCAAATGAGATGTATGAAACTCTTTATATTATGCTATCACAAAACATGACATTTCTAATATTTATTATCTCTCACAGTTGTTCACATGTCAGGGTTTAGGAATGGCTTGGCAGGGCAACTCTGGTGTAAGGTCTCCCCTGAAGCTGTGGTCAAACGCAGTAACAGAGAATGCAGTATTAGCACTTGTGTACTAATACAGTATACAAGTTCACTCTCCTAGAAAGGCATTTCCTTACCCAAGTATGAAAAAGCTAGTAAGTAAGAAGCTACTAACTTCATTAAAATTATATCTGCATAGTGGCAACTTGCCCTAACATAGTTAGATCTAAAATTTTTAAAGACCAATATCTTTTAATAATAAAGTAATTTTTGATGACTTAGAAATTGCTGACGATTCAAATGTAACTTCAAATTTGCCTTTCAACTGTATTTTTGTTTTCTTACTTTTTATTCATTTTTGGTCACACCAAGTGGAGGCTCGTGGGATCTTAGTTCTCTGACCAGGAATTGAACCCAGGCCCTCAGCAATGAAAGTATAGAGGCCTAACCACTGGACCATTGGGGGATTCCCTCTCAACTATATTTCTTGAGTGTTGACTACACATCAAGCAGTGCGCTAGATGCTGGGAATACAGCAATGACAAGAACAAAAAGATATCATCTTACCATTATAACATATAAAGGCTCTAAAAATGTACCTTCCAGTAAATTCTAATTACCTCATTATACTGGAGATTCACTATTTTAAAGTCTAACAGGTAAGAAAACAAAGGGTGTTGAGCTCCCTTTTAGAAAGATTGTGCATGTAGGAATTCCCAAGTGACACTTCAGTTCAGTTCAGTTTGGTCGCTCAGTCGTATCCAACTCTTTGCAACCCCATGGACTG